AAAAAATAAGCCAACTCGCGGGTCAAACGAGCCAGCTCGCGGGTTGAGTTTTTTTTTTATATACAAATACAAAATATAATATACAAAAACTTAAGTCCTTAATCTTCTCACATCCCTGCCATTTTTATATTGTTAGCTGGCTCTGTTTGGTTCAAATATCTTACTCACTTGGTAGCAAGTGATTCTGATTGTTTCTTGATATTGATGCAAATTTATTGTGAAGAAAATTCAAAACTAAAATATTTTGCTTTTATTTCTCATTCTGTAACCTTTTGTTTAAGCTAATGGAAGCCACACTGGTGCATTAATTCTACATGGTTATTTAAATAGGCTGAAAATGAGCCAACCTACGAGCAATTTCGAGCCAACCCGTGAGCCAACTCGCGAGCTATTTTTTCAAACCAACCCATGAGCCATATTTTTGAGCCAACCCGCGAGCCAACCCTAACCCGACTTGGGTCGGGTTGGGTTGAGTTTTCTGACTCGTTTTTTTTTTCGAGCCAACCCTAATCCATCTCTTTTTTTCGGGTTGAATGTGGGTCGGCCCGTTTTGCCAACCTACCATTGATTCATACTTATGTGATACATAATTATGTTATAGAATTTTAAAATAAAATAAAAACTGAGGGATATTTTTATTTTTATTTTTGGAGGTTAACACTGAGGGATATTTTATCCTTTTTATTTTAGACTAAATTATATCATATAAAAATATTATTATAGTATATAATTAATATGAATCTACAAATCATATGCTTTTATGAATTCGTAAAGATTTTTTATAAAAAAATTATATAGTATTGAAGTAAATTGAGCTAGTTTCAAAAAAAGATAAGTAACTTGAGATGAAGTAATTAGAAATGTGACAATATATATCGATCTGGGTTTTTTAAAAATATTTTAATCTAATTAATTTCAAACTAAGACAAGTTACCATAACTATTGATTGACACGCGTCGGAACTTGAATGTTACGAATTTTTTTTTTTTTTTTTTGGTATGCTGAATGTTACGAATTTCAACTAACAAGTAATAATTTAAGCCCGTTAATTCTGTGTTCTGACCTGTTAAATAATATATTTAAGAAAAATATGCTTCTTATATTGTGAAATAAAGTAAATTATCTTATATAATATACAAAAAAAATGGGTATGATTTTTTTTCTTCTTCTTATTAAATTTCACCCAATTTTTTATATGTTACATCAGAAATTTGTCTCATGTAATATCAAAAATATATTTCTCTACATTTAAATTGAAAAGACTATAAAAAATAGTAAGGTTTATTACCTAACGATATGGTGCAAATAAATAGATGATTATATAATAAAAACGAATTTTTGCAGTGACAATAGATAAAAAACAAACACATTATTTTTGACAATTTATCTTTGTGTTCAAATTAATTAATAAGTTTGTTTACAAAAAAAAAATTAATTAATAAGTTGTTCTTTGGAGCACAACCACGGCCAATTGAGTTGAACAAGCGTCATTTCCATAAATTCAATCCCCATTAATAGTTCAAAATTTACATTATAATAATTACTCGTTAGGGCATTGGCATTTAGCCCGATTATGTTACATTGAATTTGGGTGTAAATTCGATAATAAATAAAACTGTTAACAATACTCAAGGCATTGTACCAAATTGGACTTTTATAGTTTATTAATATTTAATAGGATTAATAAAAAATTTCACTTGATTTATTCAACTAATATAACTTTGTCACTAACTGTTGAGATATATAGTCTCACATTGGTTGTATGTGCAATTAATGTGGAGTTTATTAAGGCCTTGGACACTCTCACTTTTTGAACTAGCTTTTGGGGTGGTGTATCCCAAGATTCTTTACATGGTATCAGAGCTTAAGTGACTATAAGGTCACAAGTTCGATGCTCACCACTCCCACTTTAAAGTAGAATTAAAATAAAAGCACAAAAAGATAAACCAAAAATTGAGTCTGTGCAATATCCACGCTTCTAGCCCATCTTGTGTGAGGGGGCGTGTTGAGATATATAGTGCCACATTGGTGGTATGTACAACTAATGTGAAGTTTATTAAAACCTTGGGCACTCCCACCCTTTGAACCGATTTTTAAGGTGATGTATCACAAGGTTCTTTACACTAACTAAGATAAACAAATATCCTCGTGTATATTATATTTTCGGCATACGTTATCTGGATGTTTAAAAATAAATAAAGCCTTGTTCAAAATATCTGATATATTCGTTCCTAGTTCACACTTTGTGGCTTAATATTCCTCCGTGTTTTTAAATACATAGCTTACATTATGAATGTACTTATATCCTTTAAAAAAAAATTGAGGACTTAAATGAAAATATAAATATAAATTTGAATTCAAATGAAAGAAAATTTTTTCCATTTAAAAAAAAAAGTAGCTCAGTTATTTGATCACGATCTTCAGGGAATCTCCTCTTGTAGGGATATAGACCCTGGATAGTTATTTTTTGTTTCTGGTTGTTTGTTTGTTTTTGTTTGGGGCTTCCCCCCTTAATGTTATCAAAAAAAAAAAAAAAAAGTACGGGCTCAGGTACTCTTGCTTAGAGGTAGGAGTGAAAGTCGGCTAGGCTGGACCAAGCCTTGTCCCGAAAAGTCCAAGCTTACGTCAAAAAATTTCAATTTGGCCTGGCTCAAGCCTATTACGAGTCTAACTATTAGTCTGACTTGACCCGTTTATAAAAAAATAAATGGCCTGGTCCAGCCCATTAACCTGTTAATTTTTAACTTCCAACCAGAACCATGAATCAACTTTACGGAATACTCAAATTCTGTTGCTAAACTAAAAATCATAATTTTAACGTCCAAACAGAATCATGAATCACAACAAAACTCATACAATCTACATTTAAGTCACTTTCAAAAGCAAAAATGCTCAAACTAAATAACATATATTTCATCACATCTAAACAAACAAATCCATACTATGTAAATTAAAATACAAACATCAATCCAACAAACAACATCATGATGTTTGTAGTAAGTATAACCTCTCCTAAAATCCTTTTAATATATTCATATACATAATTTAACATGATGAGATGTTCGTTCCTCCTATATAAGAAATAAAATTATATTTCTATTAAAATATAATTGAATATAATTAAGTTATAAATAATTACAATTGATTAAATTTATATCTTTTGTTTTTTCTTCAAGGCATTCTTATTTTTTTTATTTCATTTAAAATAAATTGTACAATATAGGCCGGCCTGAAAGCTTATAGGCCAGGCCTTGTGAAAGTGGGCCTACGACCTTTTTACTAAAAAAGCTTTTTCAAAGCCCAAGTTCGGCCTATTTTACGAAATATACTAGATCAGGTCTGACTTGACATAGGCCGAGCCGTAGGCCCCTGTGGGCCGGCCCGGCCCAGTTTCACCCCTACTTAGAGGTGTTAGCTATCTCGATTAGATTGGTTTTGAAGCAAAAATATCGGATCAAATCCATTTGGTTTGGATTTTTTTTTTTAAAATATGATTCAATCCAATCCAATTTTATTCGGTTTGAATTGGATCAGTTTTCGTTTTTTGGAAAAGTCTAAAATTTCAATAATAAAAATCACTAGTTATATCAAAATAAAATCATTCAAAATTACAAACCACTAGAAAACTAAGTTTTAATTTCCAAAAAAAAAAAAAAAACTAAGTTTTCAAACTAAAACAAATCTTAAAACTCATGAAGAGTTAAAATATATTAATAGACAATAAAAAACTAAAACAAGATAGTTTGCTATCAATAACATCCAAGATTCCAAATCTACAAAATAAAAAAATTCACTTCACCATCTTTCAAAAACAATAAATATATAATACATTGGATCGATTTGGATTGGATTGATTTTCACCGACCAAACAAAAAATCGATCCAATCTAATTAAAATAGGGTAATACTTCTCTTATGTTGCATAAGAGAAGTATAAGAGAAGTATTATCTCATGCTCAAACAATAGTTAGGAGAGAGAAAAAAGTTGAAGGTGAGAGAAAAAAAATCTTGTGAAATCCATTTGAAAAATGTGAGTGTAGGAAATAATAATTTTTTTATGTAACATAAGAAAAGTAATTTCCATTAAAATATGCAAGTTTTTTTTTTTAGTTTTAAATTTTTCAATTTTCGATTATCAATTTTTCAATTCAGTCACTGTGGTTTGAATCGGTTTGGATAGGTTAATGGTCTTAAGAAAAATTTCCCTTATTACATTTTCTGAACCAATAAATTGGATTTAAATCAATGGTTTAAACATCATGAAATTAAACTAAAATTTGAATTGTGCTACACAAAATTTTAATATCATCACCTCATAAAATTTTAAGCTCCCACTCTCAATTTAGCAAAAAAGAAAACTGCATAATAGAACTAGAATGCCAGAAGTGCCGAGAAGAATGACAACTCTTCGTTACCGTAAAAGGTACTTGTTTGTGTACATCCTTGTTCGCTGTAGGTATAGTATGGTCACTGTCTGATGACGACGTACCTTGTAATTAAGAGTACATTTGGTAGATAATTTTTTTTTTATTAAGAAAAAATAATTTTTGAGAATATATGGAATTTTTTTTTCTGAGTATGTTACTAAAAGGTGTTTGACAGTCAAAATTTTTTTACTCAGAATATTGGATTAATTTGTGTGTTAATTTTTTCACCACAAGGAAAAAAAATAATTTTATCCCTTCAATAATAATCTTTCTCAACTATTTTATATAGAAAAAACAAACGACGAGAAAAAAAAAATTTCCAACCATATTTTTACTTCATCTTCTACCAAGAGTAGATAACTAATTTTTCACACTCCATTTTTTCTATGAAATTTTGTTTTTTCACCTTCTAGCATTATTGATGTTTGCACAAAGAAAAACACAAATTTTTAACGAAATCTCTCTTATCTCTTTGGCGTGAAAATACAGTGAGAGTTTATACCCAAGGGAAAAAGAAAAGTATTTTTCTTCTCTATTTTAATAAAAAAATTCGTAGCAGAACAGATTGGCAGACTCATTTCGTGTTACTGAGCCTGGTCTTAGAGATGAAACCCTCTAGATAGATACAACGACCACGATGAAACTCAATCAGAAAACAAAGCTGTCTTATTGCTTCCCTCTTCTTTTCCGCAAGGCCAACCAATTCCTCATCCTTCTCCTTGAGATTCTTTTCCAATTTCCTCACTTTCCTTTCAAGCTTGCTCACTTCTTTTATTAGGTTCAGTTTCTCCCCTCCTTCCTTGCTCAAAATGGCTTCTATTTTCCACACCTTCTCTCTCAACAACAATTCTTGCTCTTCTTTCTCACCCACTAATGCTGTAAGGCTATCCACCTTGTCTTTCAGTTCTTTCATCTCTCCATTTCTTTTCTTTACCCAATCCTTCGCAAACTGAACCTCACCCAACATTTTAGAGACAAGGCCTATGACATACTCTCTATGTTCCTCAACCTTCTTCTCAGCAACCAAATCTAACTCATTTAAATAAACCTCTATTTGCAAGGGTGTCCCTTTCAGTTGTTCAAGTGTCCTTACTTGATCTTCATAACTAGCAATTTTCTCTCCAAGCATTTTGTTTTCTTGTTCGTACCTTTGCTTTGCCATTTTGTAACTAACTTTGTTTTCATTGTCCAGCTGTTCTGCTACATGGATCCTCTGGTGCAACATGCGGATATTGTCTTCCATTTCCTTCCGGAACATTCCTGCCAATTCTTCCATTTTCTTTTCCGCTGATTGTTGATTCAACTTGAACTTCTTTGACCAAACTTTGGCTTGTTTATTCTCTTCACGTGTTTGATCAATGGTTTCTGATAGCTTCTTTATCGTTTTCTCCTGATCCGCAACCTGGGTTTCTAACTTGACCTTATAATTTTCCATCTTGGCTAGGCTTTCTGAATTTTCCTTATGCCTTCGTTCATTGAGTAACTCCAACTTGCTTTTCTGTTCCTTCAAAGTGTCTAACTCCTTTCTCAGATGTTCAACTTCAGCTGTTAAAGTCATAGCATGTTCAGAAGCTTCATTTTTACACTTCTCGTGTTCCCTCAAAAGAGCACAAAGCTCTTCCTCTCTCTCTGTCATTGCTCTTTCTAGTTCATGATTTCTATCCTGCAGGGCCTTTCCTTCATCTGCTAATCGATTAAACTCAGAACTTGTATCTCTTAACTGCTCTTCCAAATCGTTTTGTTTGCTGCATCGAGATTCCACTTCCAGTTCCAGGTCCTTTAAACTCGAAAGAAAACACTCTCTCTCTTTTAGCAGATTCTGTTCAACTGAACTCGTTTCAGCTAAACTCTCCTGCAAGTTTTCTATCCGAACCTTTTCCCTTTCGCTTCTCAACAGAGCTTCTAATTCTTTGTTCTTGTTGCACACGGAATCTAAGTCTTGTTGCATGACATTAAGCTGGTCTGTGAAGTCATTCTTTTGGCTTAATGCTTCATTTCTATTGCGTCTTATCTTTTCTTCCATTTTTCCTTTTTGGGTCCGCAAAGATTTGGCCTCCTGTTCGAGCCTGTTTATTCGTGCCATCAATTCTGCAATTTTGGAAGTTGCCTGATACTCGTTGTTTTTGAGTTTTGCATGTAAGATAGACACTGCTCCTTTGCTCTCTTTCAACAACAGTTCAAGCTCCAAGACTCGGGCTTGCAGCTCAGTATTATTTGCACTTAACTGTTTAACTTGATGTGCTTGGCTTTTAACTTGATGTGCTTGGCTTTCAACTTGAAGTTCAAGATTCCTCTTCTGCTGGTTCAAGCTCTTAAGTTTTTTCGTTTGAGTGTTTAATTGCTCCTCAAACTCCTTTGCCTCGGTTGGTGCAAAAGTCTTGAGAACATGATGTGTATTGGCATTAACCTCCGTGTTAGCATCTACTTCCTCTGAGGAAAAGTACTCCGATTCTGAGCTGGAGGAAGACACTGAAGGCACACTGTCTGCTCTGCGTGGAACTACTTTCACATACTCTCCGGTGAGACGACCATGCAGTGCATACAGTGACTGGTACTGATTGTAGAAGTCCTCAATTAGTCCCACAAGTTCTATATCTTTCCTGAAGTTCCCGTCTTTTTTGCTTTGGTCTTCGTTCTTAATAAGCTTCAGGATTCTTGTGAGGTTGTTGTCAATGTCTGTGAAGAATGAGAAATCGTGATATATTCAAAAGATAAGTTAGAAGATGACATTGCAAAGTGCAAAGAGTAGGCAAACACTACGGAGGGTTAAACGTTTTGTTTAGTAACTCTTGCAAACTACGTTATATAATCTCCGAAGTATACTAGATTACACTATCTATTTTGCAAAAATTCTTAAAATTTTTTTTATAAACAGATGTTTTCCTATTTTTTATTGCTATTATTAAACTTGATGTTAGCAAAATGTCTCTTTGCTTAACCGGGGATGGAACCAAGTTTTTAAGCAATTAGTCCTTGAAGGCTAATCTACTTCTCATGTTTGATGTAAAAACAATATTCTCATGTTACCTTATAAGAGAAATACTTAATTATAATATTAATTTTTTTTTCTCTTAAAAAATTGTGCTGTGGTGTAAAGAGAGGAAAAAAATAATTTTAATTTTATAATTATGTACTCTACAAAATATATAGTTATAATGGGTGATAGGAGAAGATTTTTTTGTAGCAGCATTATAAAATTATACTTGAAAAAGGGTATTCTAATATATTATTGAATTGTAAATAATCTGTACAAAGGGTTCTCTATTTATAGAGAATATTTGACCTACTTTTAACCTAATGGGCTTTGGCCCAATACAACAAAGGGCTTGGCCCAATACAACAATAAATGACTAAATAAAAACTAAATAATAACTAAATCAATATTATTTACAACACTCCCCCTCAAGCTGAGGAATAAATATTTATCATTCCCAGCTTGCTAGTAAGTTCTTGAAATCTGTCTGAAGGAAGCCCCTTTGTTAATAGATCAGTCAATTGACGCCCAGTGGGAATGTATGGAGTGGTAATCAACCCGCTATCAAGTTTCTCTTTGATGAAATGGCGGTCAACCTCAATATGTTTAGTCCGATCATGTTGAACTGGATTATGAGCTATACAAATAGCGGACTTATTATCACATAACAGCTTCATAGGTCCCTCACATTTTATTTTGAGATCATCAAGAACAATTTTCAGCCACAGTAACTCACAAATGCCTTGAGCCATAGCTCGAAATTCAGCTTCTGCACTTGATCTGGCAACCACATCTTGTTTCTTACTTCTCCATGTCACCAAGTTACCGCAAAGAAACATGCAATAACCAGTGGTAGAACGACGGTCAGTCACGGATCCAGCATAATCAGCATCTGTGTAGACTTCTAAAGATAGATTGCCATCACGTCGGAATAACAATCCTTTACCAGGAGTACCTTTAAGATACTGAAGAATTCTCTCTACTGCCTGCATGTGTTTTTCTTTTGGATCGTGCATAAACTGACTGACAACACTAACAGCATAAGCTAGGTCTGGTCTAGTATGGGCCAGATATATCAATTTCCCAACTAGCCGTTGATATTGTCCTTTATCAACTGGAGGACTCTCTTCTTCATAGCCCATCTTGTGATTCTGCTCAATAGGAGTATTAGAGGGTTTACACCCGAGCTTTCCTGCTTCTTTGAGAAGATCAAGAACATATTTCCTCTGGCTGATAAAAATTCCTTTGCTTGAATGAGCTACTTCTATCCCTAAGAAATATCTCAGTTTCCCAAGGTCTTTGATTTCAAACTCAGAGGCAAGCCGTGTTTGCAGAATCTGTCTCTCCACAAAATCATCACCTGTGATAATAATATCATCAACATATACAAGGAGCACAGTAAGCTTCCCATTTTGGGAGTGCTTAAAGAAAAGAGTGTGATCTCCTTGGCTCTGTCTGTATCCTAAGGTCATCATAACCTTAGTAAATCTTCCAAACCAAGCACGAGGTGACTGCTTCAATCCATACAAGGCCTTTTTTAATCTACAAACTTTATTTTCCCCCTTCACAGAATCAAAACCAGGCGGGATTTCCATGTAGACTTCTTCTTCTAACTCACCATTGAGGAAAGCATTTTTCACATCAAATTGATTTATATCCCAATTGTAATGGGCAGCAAGGGATAACAAGATTCTCACTGTATTCATCTTTGCAACTGGAGCAAAGGTTTCTTCATAATCAATGCCATAGGTTTGAGTGTAACCTTTGGCCACTAATCGAGCCTTATATCTCTCAAGAGTGCCATCAGAATTATATTTCAGGGTATAAACCCATCTGCACCCTACTGCTTTCTTTCCGTTGGGTCTATCAATAACCTCCTATGTTTTATTTTTCTCCAAAGCATTCATCTCCTCTTGCATGGCTTGAGCCCAATTCCTATCTTTCAAGGCTTCATGTACTGATTTTGGGATTGCAATAGAATCTAGTGCTGAAACAAAGCTTTTGTGCTGCACAGAAAGATTAGCAGAGGAAACAAAGTGGGAGATAGGGTATTGAGTACAAGAGGGACAGGAGGAACAAGTTTTCTTGTGACAAGATCTTTTTCCTTTTCTAAGAGCAATAGGTAAGTCATCAGAAGTAGAAGCAATGGGTAAGTCATTAGAGATATCAGAAGAAATAGACAAATCATGAGAGGAAATAATATTTGAATCAGAAACAGGGGATTCAGAAGAAATAGGAGATTCAGGACTTACCAGTGGTTCAGACGATTGAGGTTGCTGGTGAGACAGTATGGGTTGTATCTCAGGTGTATTTGAAGGTTCTGACACACCAGGAGCAGACACACTAGGAAGAGAGAAGATTGATCCAGACTCAAAGAAGGAAGGGGACGAGTCTTCTGAAGAACTATTCTCCCCCTGACGATGAGGACCCAGGAAATAAGATTCAGATTCTTGAAAGGTGACATCCATAGAAACAAAAAATTTCCGACTTGGTGGATGATAACACTTGTACCCTTTTTTATAAGGGTTATAACCAAGGAAGACACACTTAAGAGCCCTAGGATCCAACTTACTCCGATGTTGTTTATGAACATGGACAAAGGCAACACATCCAAACACTCTTGGTGGAAGGTTCTGCAATATGGGAACAGAAGGAAAGAAGGAAGTCATGGAATGAATAGGACTGATATTGTTAAGGACCCGTGAAGGTAAACGGTTGATCAAAAAAGTTGCAGCTAATACTGCTTCTCCCCAATAAGAACTAGGAACAGATGTCTGAAAAAGTAGTGCTCTAGCAACTTCAAGAAGGTGACGATTTTTCCTTTCAGCAACCCCGTTTTGTTGAGGGGTATCAACACATGTGAGATCATGAATCATACCTCTGTCTGAAATGAATTGTGACAGGCGTTGATTGACGTACTCAGTACCATTATCAGATCTGAGTCTTTTAATACCCTTACCAAACTGAGTCTCAACCATGTGATGAAACCGAATAAATATCTCTGGTACTTCAGACTTGTCTTTCATCAAGTATATCCATGTTATCCGAGTACAATCGTCAATAAAATAAACAAACCACCTAGCACCTGAAACACTGTGCACTTTAGAAGGGCCCCAAACATCAGAATGGATAAGAGAAAAAGGTTCTCTGCTTTTAATAGTGCTAGAAGGAAATGACACTCGATGGTGTTTTGCAAATTCACAAACATCACAATGAAAGGTCTCAACCGACTTATTGAGAAACAGAGAGGGGAACATAGACTTCAAAAGACTAAATGGTGGATGCCCGAGACGCTTGTGATGGAGCCAAATCATAGACTCTGCAGTAGAAGGATGACGTGTCATTAATAACTGATTTTTGCTAGCATGGTCTGGAAGGAGATGATACAACCCATCCTGTTCATTAGCAACTCCAATTGTCTTCTTCGTGGTAAGATCCTGAATAAGACAATGAGAAGGGAAAAATGTGATAGAACAATTCAAATCAGTTGTAAGTTTTTGAGTGGAGATAAGATTAGTAGAAAGCTGAGGAACATAAAGAACATTTTTAAGAAACAAGGAAGGTTGAATTTGAATGTTACCAGAACCAATAACTGATTTATGGGATCCATCAGCTACGGATATAGTATGACTACCAACAGTAGGATGATAAGAACAAAATAACTCAGTACGACAAGCCATATGATCAGTTGCACCAGAATCCAAAATCCATGAGGTTTTAAAATCAGTGCAAGAAGCAAGAAGAGATATAGAACGTGTGCTCTTACCAGATAAGATCGAAGAACTATCATGCTCAGCCATTCTTTAACAAAAAAAGTTAACAACCAGCGATAAAATCAACCAAACAGAATATCAAATGACCTCTGATCAGAAAAATAATTATAGATCCAGACAGAAGACAAGAAGACGAGAAGAATGGTGGTGGTCCGGTCCAAAAACACGGCCGCACGCGCCTCCACGCGCCGGAGAAAGGAGCTGCGCGTGGGATTCACTCGCCGGGAAAGGGGCGGCGCGTGAGAGCGCGTGGATGGGCTTCGCCGGCTGAGATTTTTATGGTGTGGTCGTCCGGTGAGCGCACACCTGTCTGTGGGTGGTCGCGGTTGAAAAGTCGCCGGAAAGTGGTCAAAACGGTGAAGACAGATCTGATTGGAGGCGATCGGAGGTGTTTCGGTCGTTTGTGGCGGAGGAACACTGCGTAGAATGATAGATCGGAGGAAAAATAAGGTCAACAATGGTCCCCTTGGTCCAAAAAGTCCCCGGAAAAATTTTCCTGTGGCGGCTAATGGCGGCAAGAGGCAAAGAAATTAGGGTTTTGTTAAAAAAGAAGATAATATGTGCGGAAGCAAAGCCCTCAGATCGAGAGCTCTGATACCAACTTGAAAAAGGGTATTCTAACATATTATTGAATTGTAAATAATCTGTACAAAGGGTTCTCTATTTATAGAGAATATTTGACCTACTTTTAACCTAATGGGCTTTGGCCCAATACAACAAAGGGCTTGGTCCAATACAACAATAAATGACTAAATAAAAACTAAATAATAACTAAATCAATATTATTTACAACAATTATTCTTCAATAATAAATGGGTCTCTTCTTCCACTTATTCGAAGATTCGTGTGTAAAATTAACAATTATGAATGTGCACTAGAGAGAACCTGCACCTGATTTGGTTCTTTTGAGTTCTTCAGATTTTTCAGGATCAATTCGATTCCCATAGGACTTGGATAATCCCCCTAAGCGGTGCTTGATCATCCTCTTACTCTGGGGCATTCGCAAAGATTGAATCTTCGCGAATGAATAGGAATCCTGAAATTGAGAAGTGAAGACAGACAAGACAAATTAAAAGGCGCTTTTGAAATATTGATGTATGCCTATGGCATTGTAAATGCACTGGTACAAATTGATTAGAATGCGGTATCATCCAGTCTCACATGCACTTAATCCACAGACTCAATGCAAATAAATGTAATAACACGATAACAGTTGTATCACCTGATAATAAGTTTTAGTAATTTAAAAACAGAGGTATGGGTTTGAAAACAAGAACATATATAGTAGCTAACTAGCTATTCATTAGTAGGAAATAGATCACGGTCAACGGAAAATTAGCAACAGCAATCAATGATTGCAATCATTAAAGGGGAAATTTAGTACACCCCCACCCAAAAAAAATAAAATTAAATAAATAAAAGGAATTTAAGGGCGAGCATAGGATAAAATAGTCTATCATAATCTTATCTTATTGTTTTTAATTTATCATGTTGACAACCTAATAATGAGCAACAACAATTAATATATTAGGATATTCAAATGTGATGAGTCTCACATTAGTTGGTAATGAGTTAAAGTGAAGTTTATATAAGTGTGAGGATCCATGAACTCAATACATTAAGATTTTGAATTGAGACATAATATCAGACACATTTACTGTAATCACTAGTTCATGATTGTTTGTCAAAATGCTTATAAAAAATAAGGAGGAAAAAAACCTTTTTTTTAACAATTAAAAACAATATCTCAATCACTAGATAGTAGATGGTATCACTGACCAAAGAAAAGAGAAGTAACGAATTTTGATGTACAAATAACAATACCGCAACGCAGAGCCTTTGGAATTTTGAAATAAATATTTGGTGTTACTGTTGCACCAAAGATTCAATACATTCCATTAATAGAAATATTTTTTTTTTCTCCTATGATGTGCAATGGTCCCATTAATGAGATACACTAAATCTTGGTGCATCAATAATATCAAAGATTTGTTCAGAATTTTGCGGGTAAGAGTAAAATGAAAAATGTTCCGGCTGGCCCATTTTATAGTCCCAGCAAATTGGATCCAATATTAATAACACACAGTTGAAACTTTTTAGGAAGCACCCCATCATAAGAGGCTGATTATCGGGATTTCCTTATCCCTCCATTGTTATATTGATAGTTGATGGCACATGGCTTATCTTAGAAACTAGGCTTAACTGGGTGGTACGACTTTTATGATTCTCTCTCCCACGCTTGAGAGGGACCTTTTCTTCTCCCATTGAAGTGGTATCCTCTCTTTTATTTATCTTCTTGAGTTGTTACTCTCCCAAAATATGGAACCACATCAGCCATTTACACACACCTCCATTGCAATATATCTGCTAGTATATGAAAAACTCATATTGAGTCTTCGTACCTGCCATTGCTACTAAAAATATCCACAAATTAACATACTTCAGCCTTTGACAGATATATCTTTGTCTCTATCAAACAGGCATTAAGAGTTCAGAAATATTACTCTAAACATAGGAAAAAAGACAACAAAAACCTTGGTTTTACCAACTTTTATGACTTTTACAAATCAAATTATAATATTTCTTCTTATACTACTAAAGTTTTGCCCAAATAAATAATGATTTACTTTTTTATTTTTAAATTTATTTATTCATGTCGTTGTCAATAAATTTACGTATAACTTCATAGTTCTATACATTTAATTTTTTTAATTGCACTTAATGGCTTGATTAGGGTTATATAAAAAATAATAGCAAAATTCTGGTATCCCAATTGGCTCTGGTTCTTCATAAGATGTTCTAAGGAGGATGAGTATGTAAACTCATACCAAGACAACAAATTTTCTAAATTAATCATGTTATTTGAATTTTAATTATATTAACAACCAATAAGTATTTTAGTGTATTCTGATTGTAATTATAATATGTTAAATAAAAAATAAAAGTGCTCCAGGGTTAAACCTATTAATCATTATATTACAATATAAGAAATTAATTAATAATGAACATAGTACCTAAAACTAAATGAGTACTCAAAGTTACTTAAATTCCAAACTCAATTATCTAATATTAGGATGGTAACAAACATTACTATGGTGACCTGGTCCATCGGAAATTCAAACCAGACGAATTCAGGGGAGAGATGCGGTTAAGGTTTAGATTTAGGCATGCCAACTTCCCACTTGCAATAGCAATCGCAAAAAAGCACTTCCTGTTTCTACCTTCCACAACCGAATTCAAATAGCTTCTTATCTTATGTTTTCCTGTTTTACTCAACAAACATTAACAATCAGCATTCAAACTGAGAAAGAGCCTTACATTTCCTTCAATATGTAGATATTTATCATTATATTGTATGTGATAGGTTATTCTACTTACTATTTTTTTTTTGCCTACATCTGCCTAACATCCTTCAACACCGTTAGATCAGAATCTCAAGAAGATAGGAAAAAATAAATGTTAGTTAAGATTCTAATCTAACGGTGTTGGAGGATCCGATTTTATCTCACCCTTCAATTCGAATTAGCAAAAGCAATGTCTCCTTGCATAATATGGATTCCGAACATTCATGATCTGGATATGAATGAGTCGAATTACTAAAAAAAATAAAATAAGTAGAATAACTTATCTCATATTGTATTAATATAAAAGAGCACCAAACTGTACAGCACAGTTCATAACAATCAGTTATAATATACTAATTATGTATGAGAAAAAGATTAAAATCTATGAGCAAAAGAAACGAGGTTTTCCTGCCGCCGAAACAGCTAAGAGCTTAGCTTTCGTGATCAATTTTAATATAGATTTGCTTTACAAAAAATTTTCTTTATTTATTTTTTGCAATTTCTGTAGTTACTATTTTTCACACATTTTTATTTAGTTGCCTTTTAAAACAAAAAAACTATGTTGTGAGCTGAAAAGTATGTTTAGTTTATGAGAAATACTACTTTCATCTTACATAAAATAATTATATTATGTTTCTTTATTTCGAAAATTTTATTCCCTTTTCTTTTTTTCCTTAATGGTAAAGCATACTTGACTTCTGCACAAGAGAACTATCATTATGTAAAATGAGAATAATGTTTTTACTCATGTAAATTAAGAGTAGTATTTCTTTTAGTTTATACCTAAAAAATTATAAAATAAATCATTTGTTTTAATATGGAATAAATCATCTCTAAAATTTTGAAAATCTCAGCTGACTTGAATGAGATTCAATTCACTTTCAAGGCTGAATTTCTGGATTTACAACGGAAATATTAGATAAATTGAGAAAGCATGGTAAAGGCTTAACGAACTTGATAAGGGGTATGATATATTCAACATCCAAATCAAGACCAGAGAAAAACAAAATCTTACCCAGAGAGAGAGAGAGGGGGGGATGAAGCAAGAACATCGACAGAACATCACAATCGAATCTAGAAGATACGGGCACAGATTCTATGAACATGGAGACAAATAACACAAACAGAACCCCTAAAACCTAAAATTTCACCCTGGTTGCACAAATTAAATCCCAATGTACCAAAAAGGACAATCCAGGGACCCAAGTTTATGATTCTATTTATGATACAGGCACAATCCTGGGACCATGGTAAGAAAACGAAATCATAATAAAAATTCAATTATTTCATACATTCGTTAATTTTTATAATCCTATACATTCTGCATTAGGATCTCTGTTCAGCATCTTATGTTCCCTCAGACTTTTGTTACATTGACTATTCCGGATTCTAATTACAAACAGTTTCATCTTCTGAGAAAAAAATATGCGCAGGAAATGAGAAGATATATTTTCTTCAGCGAATGTAAATGAAGCAAATCATATAAAGTCATTTATTTATATATTTTTTTGCCTGATAAACATACAAAACGAAAGCAGTTACAGTACCTGGGAATGAAAATTGATTTCCACCAACCTGGATTAAGAAACATTGAATAGAAAATGGGAAAAAAATAGAAGGCCAAATAGAGAATTATGAAACAAAGAAAATCAGTAATTTTGGGATAAAATAAAAAATATCCAAAAATAAATAATAATAATAATAATAATATAATAATTATTATTATTATTTGTTTGATCTGAAAGGATCATGATTAATATAGGATTTGTATGCTCGAAATCTATGAAAAAGAAGTCACAAAAAGTGATAGATTATTGTACATTCTAAAAGGGATGATCGTTAAGAAAATATGGATTAGAACATGTGAACTTAAGAAGCTTAACATTTTATTTATAAAAATGATTATCTGAAAACGTACGTGAGAGTTTAAATGAAAGTCAGATAATATAATAGATGATATCGCTTAATATTTGAATTAAGATCACTTTATTTGGTTACCTTTTAGAAACTGTGGAGCCCGTGAGATAGATTCAAAACACTATTACTATAATTTATTTATTTTTTTTTATTTTTTGGTGAGGACTATTACAATTATTATTTTGGCATTTCTTCTTGTAAGAGTGACCTTGTAGTGTTAAAATTATAATTAATGTTATATAAAAAATATTATAATCGATAGCTGAAAAATACAATCACTTCAGGTAGAAATAAATTGTGTTCAAGATAAATTTTACCAACATGCATGGTTAAATATATTTGGTAAAATCAATATCAAGAATTGGCACACTTGGAGGGTGCTTCAAGGATTGAATCTTAATTCGATTTTTAAAAAAATTCTTTAGAACTAGAGGCAAAAAAAATTATCCTCTACGTTTCAGTAATAAATCAATCTCATTTTACCTCCAATTTAATACACCATATTCAAATGATCAGCTAATTCTAAAATCATACTCCAAAGATAAAGTAGTTGAGTGAAAATATCATCTAAAATTACCGAAACATATATTTTGGAAATTTGTGTGCTTGAGCGTGATTTATTATTTATTTTTTTAAAAAAAAATTAGACTTAGTCTTGTTTATTTTTTGTAGAAGCATAAAAGTCTTAACTTAAGAGTTTATTAAAATTTATGTTATACGTAAGATTTTAAAAATTTATAAAGTTTATTATGTTATGTAACTTTAACAAAATTGTATTTTATATAGACTGAATATATTATATTAATATATAATTAATGAAATATTTAAGTATTATAAATTCTTAATTATATATTTAAATATAAATAAATAAACAAACATAATAGGTTAAATAAATATTTTTAAAAAATCAAGGTATCAATTTACCTAATTAAATAAAAAATTTATAAGCTTAAATTTCACTGACTTATTAAATATAATACTCCAAAATAGATCGAAATTAGTTTGGCAGCAATCCCTCATAAATCATATAATCCGTTATCAACGCGACCAAAAAAATAAAATAAAAAAAATAACAAATTGTAAACGACGGCGTCTAAAAATTATGAATTCAAATGTTTTCGCTATAATTCAACTGATAATAGCCGAAGTATGCAGAGGTTCTATGTTTTATTCGTATTATTGCAAATTATTGAGTATTAATAATATTATAACAACTTTTTTTATTGTTGATTACCGTTTCTCCCCTTCTACCTGGATGTTTGGATCTTCAATATAACAAAATATAAAAATCCTAAAATTAAGTGTATTGAAATTCTAAAATACTCGGAGTATAATATTCTAAATGGCAAGGATTTAATGTAAAATTTATTAAATAATATTTTAAATTTAATCTAACAATGTATATGAGTTATACCCAACTTGTTTTATTAACTGAAGTATAATACTCTCAAATACATAAAACCTTATCAAGTGTAGCCATCTAACTCAGTGTGCTATCTCCATTCTTGACCCAATTTATCGTGACTAATGGTCTCTGATGTCCATATGTATGAATACTTAATAAGTACTGAACATAATATCAGTGTGATATGAGAGTGGACATTATGTACTATTTCACAAAGCATTCAATTTGATAAAATGCAATGTTAAATAAAAATCATATATAGGCCGCATTAGATTCAGTTGAATAATTTCACGAGGTGACTAATTTTTTGTTCTTTCTGTTGTTTGGTAGTCCGTTGTTTAATATATGCATATGCACCAAACAGAACAATACAAAATTCGCTTCAATACCTTTTCTATTTTTGGTAAGGCGCTTCAATACCTTTAATGTTGTACTGAATAGACATTGTGTATTATTTCATAAAATATCCAATTTGATAAAATGTAATATAAAAAAAAAAATCATACATATCCTAGATTTCTTGGAGATTTTGTGCTGTCCCTCATCATGTTTTTTATCTAGTTCCTCAATCCTTTTACAAATCTATGCACGCACTTTTTTTTTTGGTTGTGCGTTCATTTTAAGCTAATCAAACGGAACATAGCCTTAATAACTCGTGAAAGAATGTCGCCATTTACAAGGTTACAACAATGTTAGAAAAGCAGATGTTCCTCAAATGTAGTTCTCTATTGCAATTTTTAAAAGGCCAAAATCGACTTAGCTGCTGAAGCTACTGTTTTTACCAGTCAAACAATAATCTGTCAATCATCACCTGAAGATGTTTTTTGCTTCTTCCACTTGTAAGCAGCTTCCAAGATCTTGAGATTGGTTGTCTGAGTTTCCTCGGGGAATAAAAAGTCGACAAACTCTTCAATTCTGCCAAATGAAATTCATATGAATAAAGTAGGAAAAACAACAGCTTGCAAAAATAGAATGGGGAAAAAATAGTCGATAATTTCAACTAACGGCCTTGTCAACATGCACAATGCAAAAGCTCAAGTGGGCCTTATAAAATGTAGACACGAGGGAAATAAATCCACAGAATCGCTGTGAACATGTTGCATACATAACCATATCAACTAGCCCTTGCGAACTACTCAAAAGATAAACAATGAGTTAGCTACATACCTAGTAGAACCATCTTCAGTGCTAACGTGCCTTCTCTTCTTGAGCTTCTTGGGCAGCTTAGACTGGACTAAGCTAACATCACCCAGCTCCCCAGAAGAAGCCTCCAGGTTGAGCCATTTCTCCAATAGCATTGCCCTTTCCTCTTTCAAATCTGGAGCTGATGATCTGAAGTAGTTAAGAGCTTCCTCATACACCCCTGGTGCAGGTACAAAATGAAATAAATATTAAGTGAATCAAAAAATTATTCCACTTCAACTCAAACTGAAAACATTGATGACAGACAATCACAAAATAACAACATATGAACATAAGATCACATACTTCTAGCACGCTGAATGCATTGCTTCTTTTGCTCATTTTCTGTTAAGCCTAAACCTTCCTCATCCACAGCTGTTGCCTCAAATTCCGCATAGCTTAGCCACACCTTCAAGTGCTTTGTTCGATCAAGAAGCCTTTCATAAAGTGCTCTTGCTCTGTCAAATTCACCCTCAGCAGTCTCAAAGTCGATGTATGCCTGTTTTGTATTCAAAAATTTACAGTTAGGTTATGACCAATATATAGTTATCCTGGACAATCATATGCAGTGATAGAAATCAAGAACCACCGCAAACTGAGAGAAAGTGAAAGAGAAGCTAAGAGAGAGAAACAGAGTGTTTTCTATTCTGTAATTGCAACTGAAAACTGAATGAACCTAAGAAGTTCAGGCTAGGTTTACAACTAGAAATCTCACTCAGATTCCTAACTGAATCCTAACCATTCTTCTAACTCCTTGCAAGCAAGGCTGACGGCTGATCATAACTATATAATAGTTCATTACAAATACTACTACACTGCTAAGCTGAGCTGAGTATTACTCTAACAAGGAAGAGAAGGAATGATAAAAGAAAACAGAGTCATGAAAGACAGGCCGTGTCACACCAGGGAAGAACTAAAATAGATGTTGGAGAACTATATTGGACGTTTTCGTGGGGGCAATTGGCTGCTTTCAAACAAGAAACGACAAAAAATAATAATTTTCTTTCATTAAACAATGCTATAAGCATACTACAGAGTGATCATTATTCCTTGAACAATACAGAAAAGCAAACATATGGCCCAGTCCTTGAAATTTGTGACACCTTTTTATAACAAAAGTTTGAAATGTGCAGATCAACAAAATAGAGCACTCTTTAGAGCTCATGTGTAGTGTTCTACATCGTCAATAATTCATATGCTTTTTTGAAAGGTTGATTAATAATAATATATCTAAAGTTCTAGTTGCTAACTATATATATAGTTCCAAAATATACAATATAAAAAATATCCCTTCCCCCCTTATCACCTAAAATATCTACTTACAATACTTTATTTGACAGTAATATTTTGCTCAACTTTTTCCCATGTTAATGCATCATACAAATATAAGACATAAAAAATAAAAATAACGTGCATATGCATAGTGAAAGATGATGTTCATTGTGTTTTGAGCTCAAATTCTAACTGAACCTGAAATACATGAGAATGTTAATGTTAAAATACAATATGAGATTGAATGCTATAATCATTTGTAAAGTCAAAGCTTATATCTTTTTTCTTATCACCAACTCATACATTTATTCTATAGTTACAGGATAAGACTCCCCTAAAGTAACCCTCCTGTCTCTAAAGTGAGCAAGCAAAGAAGTATTCACAATTGAATTAATTTAAAGTGCATTGTGATCTTAACCCATTAAAATATTAAGGTGGATACACCATTGCTCACTTCGTAAGAGCTTCTTCCATGATTAAAAGACTTTGTTTGACAATCTTTTCTTTATCCCATGATTTCAATAGCATTGAAATACCAATAAACAAAGTAGAAGGAACAATTATTATATATAATATACAACTCCTCATTATTGTTATACTAAAAATTATATTCTTAATTTCCTAGCATATCACTTGATCCACAGTAACCATCTCAGAAGCACAGTATTTAGTGACATGTCAATGATGAAACAGCCTGTCCCATTCACTATTTTTAGGATTAAAAATTATTTAGAATTAATATACTAAGGTTACAGCATGATGCTACAGTTTGCTAACTTAAATTGTGCTCTGATATAGAAGTAAAAAGCTGCCAAACCTATTTCCATAATTTCCCTATCCATCTCCAACCCCAAAATTCAAGTAAATTCCTAAGCTTCATCAAGAATGAATCACACAGTTAAAAGCGAGTATGCCAGGCATTGACTCACAAAAAATAAATTTTATGTGTACCTTCCACAGCAGCTCAGGCATGTCCAATGCTGGTTGGGCGATTGCAAGCTCAAAAATTGCTCGAGCTCGATCAGTCTCAGATAAAGATCTCTCCAATTCTGCATACTTGCTCCAAGCATAGCAATTTTCAGGCGACCACTCCAGATACTTTTCATACAGTTTTCTACATCGATCTATATTTCCAAGCTGCAATTCTATCTCTATATACTTCTTAAAAATCTGTTGTCCAAAGAGTAAATCAGTGTGAGAAGTTAGTTACCCATGCTGCAAAGAAAATAAGTTATTAAGCTTGCATCTGCATAAATATTACCTTATCTTTAGGAGCCTTTCCAATGGCATTTCCTAATATTTGACGAGCACCCTTAAGATTCAGCTGACGTATTTCAAACTGGGCCGCCAGAAGCCATATCTTCGCAAAAGAGAACTTATGGTGAGGTATCAGGTTGAGACACTCCCTGCAGATATTGAAATCACAGAGAACAGCAGCAGTGTCAATACTTGATAGGATAAATCTACTTACGCTAATACTGGAATGAAAATTTGAATAAAAAATGTTTTTGGGGTGATTCAGTAAGGATAGTTTCTTTAAAAGAGAAATTCCATAGAAAACTAAATTGTGTGCAGTGGGTGCGTGTCCACACAAAGGAAACAAATTCAAAACATATTTCTTGTTCCTTTTGGCTTCAGCAGTTAGTAAGGGCTTCTGTTCTAGTTTTTTTGGTGGTGAAAAACAGGAGAGGGGGGGTGGGGTATGAAATTCATTCATTTTTTTTAGCATTCACATTTAAACAAGTTGTTCAAATTAGGTCACACCATATACTAGACATAAATACAGACATGGTGACACCAATTAATCAATCCGTTATGGCCCCCTGCATTCATCTATCCAACTTTCTGGAATTTGGAAGCATATAAGATATTCTAAAAGTGTGCACATTATGCAGATGTACATAACAAAGTAAGTCTAAAACTTCAAAACCTATAGTTAATAACTTTAACTTGAAGGGAGAAAAGAATTGATGGAATAAGTTCCCATAGTAAAGTTTTAATACAGAATCAAAATTAGAAAACCCACAAATAAAATAAAATAAAAAATCAGATTAGATACTTTTGGGCCTATACGGCTAATAAGATTTTTCAAATCAATACTCAGCAGCTGCACCACATTGGACCATTAGATACAATTAAGAAATAATTGCAAGGAGAAATTCTAATTGTTACACTTAGATGTCAGAACACTAAGTCCGTAAAATTTTATTTACCAAGCTCCCCATCCATAAAGTCACTATCAAGCTCCGCGCCCAATATTGATAAACATGATAGTGACGTTTAGGGCAAGTCCAATATGATTATCCAAACTTCAAGTTAACAGAAGGCCGCATACCTGTATACATCTCTTGTCCGCCCCATATCTCCAGCATCAAGCTCTTCGTAGAGTGCGTAATTAATCCTAAGTTACAAATAAAGGAATTATATATATTAGGAGAAAACGTAAAAACAGTGAATAAACAACAAAACGGGATTCAAATCAGACATACCACAAATAGATATAGCGCTGCCAGTAGCGTTTCTCCTCAGCTGGAGGAACATTGGCTATAGCTCTCTCATAAATCTCCCTGATTCTTTCTTTGCTCCCCACACTTTCTTCCAATCTAATATAGTCAAACCAAGAATCATAATTTAACGGATTTTTTCTCACTTCATCCTCATACTGAAACCTTCTCTTCCCAACAATAGCATCCTCGATCCCTTCCCTGTCCCCATACTGCTTTTCAAAGGCTACAAACTTGCGATACAAATCTTCTGCCCTTCCCTTGGGAATATGATCAAGTGCAAATTTATATATAAATCTTGCACGAACTGTCTCCTTACATCTTTCCTCAAACTCAGCAAACGCAACAAACAGTTGCTCTGCTTCCTCATCATCCGCGAGCTTCTCCACAGCTCTCTCGTAAACATTTCTTGCCTTCGCAACCTCCCCATTCTTCATCTCAAACTTCGCATAGCGAATCCATGCCCCAACCCTCGGGTGACACTGAACAAAACGCTCGAATATCCCTCGAGCTCGCTCAATTTCATTGTACCTTATCTCGAACTTGATGAAAGATAGCCATCCCTGCTGGTCAGGCATCCATTTCATCCACCGCTCAAACACCTGCCTCGCTCCGGCGACATTGCCAAGCATCTCCTCCATGTGAATATACTTATACCATAACTGATCAACCCTCGGCAAAAGAGTCACCGCGCGATCCCAAACATTCCGAGCATGGTTTATAAATTTGTTCTTCATCTCCACCTCAGCATACTTGAGCCACAGGGTGTGATTCTTGTAATCAACTTCCAATGCTCTTTCCCAAACGGAGCGAGCGCGTTTGAAGTCTTTCTGTGACTCTTCCCACTGGGCGTACTTGATCCACACGCCAATGTTCCATCGAACTCGCCTAATCAAGTCCTCAAACTCTTTGCGCTTCCGCAAGCGGTACTCACCAAGCTCCGTCACATCGGTTATCTTCTGCTTCGGTGGACGGATCTCCGCCTCTTGACGCTCCCGAGCCTCCCGAAGAATCTGCTCCGCTGTGATTTGTACCGGTGCAGGAGTTTTATTTTTCACTCTAGTTGGACGCGGAAGCTTAACTTCCGTGTCCTTCCGAGTCAGGTAACCCAGGCTCGGGTCCGCCTCTTTCGACGAAGACATGGTTGCACTCGAACGATTAATCTTTAGTAGCAGCAATCAGGTAATATAGGCGATGACAAGGTAATGGAACCCTAACCCTAGTATTTTTGGGATCGATGAGGAGAGAGAAAGAAAAGCCGGGGACGGATGAGAGAGAAGATGGAAAAAGGAGCTATGTTTTTTGTGTTGTTGCGGTTCGGGATCTGCTAAAGAATTTCCTGTATGTATAATATTGCAGTCTTCAACTCAGTGAATGACGATAATGTCAACAATTCCTTAGAAATTGAAGAGGCAACCACAACGAGACACGATACTCCGTCGCGGCGGCGATGGTGTGCACACGGTGGTGCAGCGGTGTCGGTGTGGGTGCGACCTAAATCCTAATTTGGGGAAAACAGAGAACTGAATATCTTAGTGTTAGGGTTTGGTGTTAAATAGAAACACGGTCAGAGTCACGTGCATCAGATATCTCTTTCTAGAATATTTAGATATGGGTTTAAATATATTTGGATATATCCATGGGGTTATTAATAATTTTTTAATCCGAATGAAATCTTTTTATATTTTTTTAAATATATATTCATATTTTATATCTTTTTATTATATATTCATATTTTACGGTTCAAAACATAAGAGAGCGTGTTATCATGTGAGAAGAAAATTCTTTTGACACCTTGAGCTCTGGCTTATAATTTGATTTAGAAGGGTTTGAGTTTCAACCATAATTGGTTGGAGAAATAGACTTGCAAACTAAATCCATATCTTTTTGAAAAGGTTGAATTCATCATGATGAGAAAGCACGGAGTTTAAACCACAATTTGGCATTTTCATATGTAGAAAAGGCCTGTTATACTTAAATATCCCTAATATCAATATGAAATGCGCATTGAATATGAAAAAGATTAAGACATCGGAATTGGAATTACAGGTACTAAGTTGCTTCTAAGCTCAAGAGTGTGCCCAGTCCATTTTAGGTTTTTTTTTTTTCATTTATAAGGACTAGCAATTTTAGGATTGTAGAATGAAATGATTGTTTGTCAAAAGATAAAGCAGCCTCACTCCCATGATATGAAAGTACATAGTTTTAGTTTCTCTTTTTTTCTTTCTCCCCGGGTGCTCTTCGCCTCCGAAGGTTGTATATATTACCGTAGCATCATCACTATATATATATATATATATATATATATATATATATATATAGGGGCAGAATATTCTTACACCGGTGTAAGAGTTAGAAGTCTCACACTCAATCTTGACCATTGATCCACTTGTATCTAATGGCTCACATTACTAAAAAAAATTAGAGCCCTAAGATATAAATGAGATCAATGGACAAGATTGAGAGTGTAACTTACACTGGTGTAAAATGATCTTCACCCATATATATATATATATATATATATATATATATATATATATATATATATATATATATATACGAGAAATGATTAGTTTATAAATTTTTTGTTTACAAATTACACTAAGTATAATTTGTAAACGGATCATTTTCCTATATATATATATGGGGTAGGATATTTTTACATCGGTGTAAGAGTTATAAGTCTTACACTCAATATTGATCATTGATCTATTTGTATTTAATGGCTCGCATTACTAAAAAATTAGAGTTCTTAGATATAGGCGGGATCAACGGTCAAGATTAAAAGTGTAACGTACATTGGTGTACAATGATTATGACCATATATATATATATATATATATATATATATATATATATATATATAGGATCCTTTGACACCGGTGTTAAATTTTAATTTTGACACCTTATCTGAGAGCCGTTAGATCAAAAAAGATCAATAGTGTCACATGCTTGCAAATCAGAGTCGTTGATCTTTTTTGATCTAACGACTCTCAGATGAGGTGTCAAAATTAAAATTTGACACCAGTGTCAAAAGATTCTACCTCATATATATATATATATATATATATATATATATATATATATATATATATATATATATATAGGGTCAGGATCATTTTACACTAGTGTAAGATACACTCTTAATTTTGTCCGTTAATCCCACTTATATCTAAGGGCTCAAATTTTTTAGTAATGTGAGCCATTGGATACAAGTAGATCAATGGTCAAGATTGAGTGTAAGACTTCTAACTCTTACACTGGTGTAAGAATATCCTGTCCCATATATATATATACATATGGTTAATCTTGTCTATTAATCCCACTTATATCTAAATGTTCAAATTTTTTAGTAATGTGAGCTATTGGATACAAGTGAATCAATGGTCAAGATTAAGTGTAAGACTTCTAACTCTTACACTGGTGTAAAAATATCCTGTCCCTATATATATATATATATATAAGTAGGTAGAATCATTTGACACACCTCATCTGAAAGTTATTAGATCAAAAAATATCAACGACTCTGATTCGTAAGCATGTGATACCATTGATCTTTTTTGATCTAACGGCTCTCAGATGAGATGTCAAATTTCAAATTTGATACTGGTGTCAAAGGATCTACCTCTCTCTATATATATATATATATATATATATATATATATATATATATATATATGTTAGAGTATAATATAAACCATTAAAAAAGTTCTCACCCAACAACTTAAATTTTTGGGTTGAATTATTTTTCATATGATATCAAAGTCTCGTGTCCCAAGTTTGATCCTTGTCGTCCCTCTTTTTTTTTGTGAAATTTCTTAATACAGATAGACTAGGCTTGATGCATCATTCACCTTTTAAACCGAATGTGCTCTCTTATGATGGGGTGTGTTAAAATGTAATATTTGTGTTGAATTGATTCTTTATATAATATATAATTATATTGATATCCAGCATATTAAATAAAAACAAATCACTCAATATCTATCATATTTTTTATGTTTTCGCTTTTTCTGCAGTAAGCCCAATACGACGTTGTTTTGGGACGAAAATTATAGTATTTTTGTAATTTTAATTTATTTCAGGGTTATAATAGTCTTTATGTTTATAATTTTTTAAGATTTCAATACCAAAACGATGTCGGTTTGGGAATATTTGGAAATAAATGCAAATAACTTATCTGCAGTAACTGCAGAAACATTTTTCTCATTTTTTATTCCTTAAAAATGTCTTCAGTACTTACATAAAAAATTCAAAATTCGAATTTATCATAAAGAAAATATTTTTTTATGTTAAAGAAGATAAGTTATCTTTCTTACACTAATAAAAAGAGAGGAGGGATATTCTTACTACTAAAATTTTCTACTACAAACTCACTACCTATCTAATCATTATTGGATCAATATTTTCTCTTTTTTCAAAATCTTT